ATGTATCAAATCTGTTCTTCAGATGATCTCTAAATTCAGGTGGGATATATTCAAGGTCATATTTTGGCTCTCGTAGATTTGTTTTCATTTTCTTCAGCTTCCGTTTGAATTTGCATATTAGTAATTGATGGTCTGTTCCACAGTCTGCTCCTCACCTTGTTTTGACTGATGATAGGGAGTTTTTCCATCTTCTCTTTGCACAGATGTGTAGTCAGTTTGATTTCTATGTATTCCATCTGGTGAGGTCCATGTATATAGTCGTCTCTTATACTGTCTAAAGAAGGTATTTGAAATGAACAAATCATTGATTTTGCAGAATTCAGATGCAGATGTTCTCCAGCATCATTTCTATCACCAAGGCCATATTTTCTAACTACTGATCCTTCCTCTTTGCACCCAACCTTTGCATTCCAATCACCAGTAATGATCAATACATCTTGATTGCATGTTTGATCGATTTCAGATTGAAGAAGATGGCAGAATTCTTCTATTTTATCCTCACTGGCTTTAGTGGTTGGTAATATAGTGGTATTAAATGGGCTTCCTTGTAGGCACATAGATATTATTCTATCACAGACAGAATTGTACCTCATGACTGATCTTGATGTGTTCTTTTTGACAATGAATGCAACACCATTCCTCTTCAATTTGTCATTCCCAGTGTAGTAAACCATATGGTTGTCAGATTGAAAGTGGCTAATACCAGTCCATCTCAGCTCACTAATGCCTAAGACATCGATGTTTATGTATTCCATTTCATTTTTTTTTTCCATTTCATTTTTGATAACTTCCAATTTTCCCAGATTCATACTTCGTACATTCCATGTTCCAATTTTCAGTGGATGTTTACAGCTATTTCTTTTAATTTTGAGTTGTGCCCCATCCGCAGCCTTTTCTCCCACGAACTTTACTCCATTGGTGTCATCACGGTCAACTCTACTTTGAGGAGGCAGCTCTTCCCCAGTCGAAGTGTGAATGCCTTCCATCCTGAGGGGATCCATTTCTGGCACTATATCTGACATGTTTCTCTGCTATTCATAAGGTTTTCAGTGACTAAGTATTTGGAAGTAGTTCGTCACTCCTTCTTCCTAGTCTGTCTTACTCTAGAAGCTCATCTGAAACCTGTCCACCATGGGTGACCTTGCTGGTATTTAAAATACCGGTGGCATTAGCTTCCAGAATAACAGCAACTCACAAGCCACCATAGTAAGACAAACTGACAGAGGAATGATTAATTCTTAATCCCACCTTAATCCTGACTCATTAACATAACAGACAACTCACTCCAAAATGGCCTAGGCATGGGAGGTAAACTAATTTTGCATTTATTAGTATAAAAACTGTATTTTGATATTAGGGAAGTCTAGAATTTTGTAAAAATAAACTAATATGTTAATACAATTCTTGAAAGAAAGGGGGACGTTAATTAACTGGACGTCATGACATTGAGCACTTTGGCTCTCTGCCATGACCACAGGCATGGAGGATAGGCCTTACATTACAGACAGAGCAGTGGCTAGAGGGCCGGGCTGAGGATCTCTGCACTGCAGTCAGCTGTGCACAGTCTCAGCCTGCAGCCTGTTACCAGGGACTGTCACACAGCAGAAGTGGTCCTGTTTGAGGAAGTGCAGTGTATTCACTTTTCCTTTTCAAGAATTTTATTAATATTTTGATTTGTTTTGTAAAACTGGGATTCTCCTAATTCAAACTATAGTTTTTGTAGGAAGAAACACAAAATGACTTTGTCTTCCAGGCCGGGGTTTTTATAATTAGTAATCTGGTAATATGGTGAACATTTGATAGATGTGTCATGGAGATAGTTTCACTGTGTCCTCTGTGGTGGGTCCTGGAGAAGATTTTAAACCTCTCTCCTAAAAGTGTGATCCAAGGACCTACAACAGACAGATTTTGAATGTTGCAGAACTGGAATGATGTCAGCTGCTCCTTAATGTCACACAACGAAGGAAAAGTCATTAG